GTTCCCACCTTACTGATGGTCCGGACCAGAGGCTTCTTCGGACGGGGTTCCGATGCGGGAACCATGGTGGGTGAGTACGATCCATTTCTATATATATATATATATATACCATATATATATATATATATACATTTACATATTTAAATATTTTCAAGAATATATAAGAAAAGCCCAAAAATATATTGGTAGAACATATATTTACATAAATATATTTTGAAACATATTTATATTTTTTGGCCATTTTTTGTATATTTGAAGAAAAAAAAAAAAAAATATATATATATATATGGGAACCATGCGATTTTATGATCTCTTGCTTTGTGAGAGCGCAATAATTCTGATGAAATGTAAAAAAGAAAATAAAACTAAAATGAAAATCATTATTAATAATTATTAATGATTATATTTTTTGAGCAAAATAATCGTGATTAACCGTTTAAGCTTTATTGTGCAGCCCTAGTGTCGCTTTGGATAAAAGCATCTGCCAAATGCATAAATGTACCTTATTTATATGATATTTTTATGATGCTTTTGTGTAGTTTTGGTCCTTTTTGGAGCTTGACAGATGCCAAAACTGTTCTTGTTTGAAAAATATTTCTCTTCTTTCTATGTTGCACAGAAGAAAGTAAGTCATACCGTCTGGTGTGACATGAGGGTGAGTAAATAACGACAGGATGCTGGCGATATTTTTGAGTGAACGATCGCTTTAACCAGCTGACGATGTGAAATCCATGAGATGGTCTTAAAGACACAAACACACCATATATGAAATGCTAAAGTCTCTCTCCCTGCGTCTCTCACGTTAAAATCCATCCTTCTCCAGACATGAGCTGATGGATAAGCAAGTGCTCGGCTCCCGGAAGCCACTGCATTGCATCTTCACTGCGTCTCGCCGTTTCCGCGGTTTCTTCCGCCCGAGGAGCCGAAGAGAAACGCTGCTTTTTAAAACACGCAAATGCAGTCCGGCGCGCGTTTGGCTCCAGAATCTGGTCGAATCCCGGCTTCGCGAGGTTTACTTCGGGCCGGACCATCCTCTGTCTGCGTAGGCGCCGTCTCCGGTGGCGGAGTGTGGCGACGGGGCGCACAGATCGGAGTCTGTGTCCGACTCGCCCTCGGCGATGTACGGCCGGACTTTAGTGCAGCGCGACACGCCGCTGAAGTAGGGGTTGTTGAGGAAGTCCAGGTTCTCTTTGGACTGCGAGATGCTGAAGCCACTAAAGGAGCGCTCCAGTTCCTCGTGGTCCACCGAGGGGATGGATATGGACGTGTCGCTCTCGGCTCCGGCCTGCTGCTGGGAAAGAGCCAGCGGGCGTCCGTCTTCGCCTCGCGACGCGTGATGCTGTCCCGCCCCGCGAGAGCCTCCGTTGTGGCCGGCGGACGAGCGCTCGTGGGCCGGAGGCGGCGGGATGCGCACTAGCGACGGGTCAGCCGTGGGTGACGTTCCTTGCGTGGGTTCGGGGCGGCTGTGAAGGTGCCAGGACGTGGAGGGCGGGCAGTGGTGGTTGACGCAGGTCGACGGCGGCGGGTCGAAGTTCTTCTGGCCTGCGGAGCTGTTGGAGCGGATGATTTTGGTGATGGAGCCGCTCTTCTCCATGTGCTCCACCGGACTGTGGTACGGCGGCGCCGGCTCCGGCTCCTTAGAGGCGAAGTATGCATCTGTCTCAGACTGCGGGATGCCCATGCGCTGGATGTAGATGTTGACTAGGAAATCCAGCTTCCTCTCCATTGACATCACCTAAAAAAAGAGGATTATAAAACTGCTCTTGTTAACAAAAATTAGTCTTTGAACTAATGTACTACTCATGGATGAATAAAACTTTTAGCAGCATTTTTTTGGGGATAAAAATATGGCTGACTCAACTGACAATTGATTGAATCAGGAGAATATGCAAATTTTGTCCAATGAAATCCTCGCTAGAATCATTATTATTATTATTTTTTCATATGTAGTTCTTATTAATATTAAATAAAATTTAAAATTAATATTACATTTATTTCAGGATAAAGAAAATATAGCAGCCTGGTGAATTTCCCAAAGAATATCCAAATATAAATAGTTCAATTGGAAGCTAATTTCTATCCATAAAATAAATATTTTAGTTATGATAAAAAGAATTAACATTTTAGTTATGATTTTAAAAATGAATTCAATACATAAATATATAGCAAACATATCAATATATAACAAACATTTTAGTTATGATGAAAAATGAATTCAATATATAACAAACATTTTAGTTATGATTAAAATGAATTGAAACTGTATCTAAAAAATAATTAAATACATAAACATTTTTTTT